TGTGTGTGTGTGTGTGTGTGTGTGTGTGTGTGTGTGTGTGTGTGTGTGTAAGCTTCTACTGTATTAGGCTTCCTTACAACCCCAAATATCCCTTAGTTTTAGAAGTCCTTCCTTGTATTTCCTCCCTCACCCACCTCTTTTCTTCCATTCCCCATTCCAGTCTCCCTCCCCTCATTCATCCATAACTATCTATTCTATTCTTAGATTTCATAACTATTCTTCCTAGGGAGATCTGTCTCTTCTCCCAGTCTCTTACTCTATACCTAACCTCTGTGGTAAAATGGATTGTAGCTTGCTTAGCAATTACTTAACAGCTAGCATCCACATATAAATGAATACATGGTGCTGCAATTTTTCTCTAGGTCCAGTTTACCTCACTCAGGGTGATTTTTTTTTTCTAGTTCCATCTATTTACCTGCAAATTTCATGATTAATTTTTTTAACAGCTGAGTAATATTCTATTGTGTAAATGAACCAGATTTTCTTTATCCATTCCTCTGTTGAGGGGCTTCGAGGCTGTTTCCAGTTTCTGACTGTTAAAAATAGAACAGCAATGAACGTGGTTGAACAAGTGTATCTGTAGTAGGATGAAGGCCTCTATGTATATAACCAAGGTGATATAGCTTAATCTTGAGTTAGATCAATTTCTAGCTTCTTGAGGAACCACCAACTGATTTCCATAGTGGTTGTTCAAGTTTGCACTCCCACTAGCAGTGGGTGTTCCCCCAACTCCACATGCTCCCCACAAGGACAAATGACTATTTGTTCTGCTGATCTTGGCCATTCTGACTGGTGTAAGATGAAATCTGAAAGTAGTTTTGATTTGCATTTCCCTGGTGACTAGGATGTTGAACATTTTTTCGAAGTGCTTCTCAGCCATTTGAGTTTCTTCTGTTAAGAAGTTGATGCTGGAAGTGAGTGGGAGGACTCAGAGGGAGCTGGGCAGGAGAGGAATTGGCAGCGTGAGGAAAGATGAACCAGACCTAAGATATGACTAAAATAACAAACAAGAAACCCACATAGGCATCTATCACGAAGGTCAAACAGTTTGTGGGCTCCACATCATTTGTCCGAAGATCCCAATCGATGCTTGAGCAGCTTCACCAGGTTAATGGTACTGATCATAATCGAGATTCTGCAGAGTTTGATTTGTTGTTTGAAAATGCCTTTGACCAGTGGGTTGCTACCACTGCCTCAGAAAAGTGCACCTTCTTCCAAATCCTCCACCACACCTGCCAGAGGTACCTCACAGACAAAGGAAGCCAGAATTTAGTAACTGGCAGTACAAAATTATGGGAGGAAACAGCATCCTCCATTCAGCAGCTGATAGTGTGACCAGTGCAGTACAGAAGGCAAGCCAGGCCTTGAATGAGCGTGGGGAACGGTTAGGCTGAGCAGAGGAGAAGACAGAAGACATGAAGAACGGTGCCCAGCAATTTTCAGAAACTGCATACAAGCTTGCCATGAAGCACGAATATTGAGAAACTGCCTGTCCTGGCGCACCTCTAAAGAAAAAGGCAGAGTGTGTTCAGCAGTCATTACAAGAATTGTAGACCGCTGCTTCTTTGTTTTTGTTGTTGTTTGGTTTGTTTGGTTTTCTGATGTAAGGACATTGAGGGGTTTTGGTTTTTCCTCTTCAGATGTTAATG